CAGGGCAATCTTGCCGTGATCACGAATCACCCGCCACGGACAAAGCTCGCGGACACACAGGATGGGTGGCCTTTTGATATGTGGCATGTGCCGCAAATACCGGATAACCGCATGGCAGCGGACTTGGCACGGCTCCTGGAGGTGCTGGACGCGGTCTCGGCGGATCTCACCGCGCGGACAGCGCTTCTCGGCGACCACTGCAGCAGTCTGAAAGCCTCGCTTTGCTATTGCTCGTCGTCGTGGCAGCTCAAGAAGCGTGTGCAAGAACAGGCAGAGGCGGCCAAGAATGAAGAGGACCAGCTTCGGCTCGCCGTGGCCCATGCCGAGTCGGCGCTGGAAGAGGCGCTTAAGCGGGCCAAGTCCATTCGGGGTGCGACTGTAAAGCGCGTGCCATTGAAAGTGGCCTCGGAGTCCGCTCCGTCCTCGATGACGACAGGAGCTGAAGCGGCCGCGGCAGCTACTCCTCTCGCGCTTCCCCGCAAAATGACGAGCCAGATCAAGGAGGTTCAAGACATGGCGCTGCTGTGGCGCGGACGGGATGCACCGCCAACCGTCGCTGCCGGGAAACTCAACCAGATCTTAGCGCAGCGGGACTCGGTTTCGTCGGCCGTCCCGATTCGCATCTCGTACCGCGACCAGCTCGAGCGCATCCAGAAGGCGTATGCTTGTGTGCTGCACGTCCTCGAAACCAAGTGCTCGAGCTACCCCGCCGACGCGGCGCCCAGTCTCCCGACCGTCTTTCCCACTTGGTTTCGCCTCAATAAGGTCAAGCATCTTCTTCAAGCGCTGAATGCAGAGCTCGCAGCGTGTCTTCAACGGATACCGCCGCCCCCCGTGCTCTCCAAGGTGACCCATTGGACCAAATTTGCCGTATTGATTGTCGTTGCCCTCTGTAGCGAGCAGCGACGCGCAGTCAGACATTCCTGCAGGCGATTACATGCGATCCACAACACTCTGTTGACAACGCACCGCTCCATTGTGAGAACGATGCAAGCTCCGCGATCTACACGAAACTCCAAGCTGCGTGGAATGCAGACATGGCGCCGCTCGTAGAGGCGCCAGCATATGTAGGTGCCATCGACAACATTGCGTCCGCCCATGTGTGCAAGTACCTTGTTCCGCCGCTGCAAGAGCGACTCCATGCCACTGCGTCTGTCGAGAACGCATCGTACGAGCTCGACAGCATGGCGTTGCTCCGGCTTTTGCACTCGCTGACCTGCTGCGATGGACTCGATATACGCAGTGTGATTTTGCTGGACTCATGAAGCAAGTAGAGTACATAGGCATATATAAATACAGAGACGTTTATGCCGCCGACGACGTGAACTTGGTCACGGCCTTCGTGCCTTCCGAGACAGCGTGCTTGGCCAGCTCACCAGGAAGCATGAGGCGCACGGCCGTCTGGATCTCGCGCGAGGACAAGGTCGACTTCTTGTTGTAGCGCGAGAGCTTGCCGGCCTCGGACGCAATGCGCTCGAAGATGTCGCTGATGAACGAGTTCATGATCGACATGCCACGCTTCGAGATACCGGTCTCCGGGTGCACCTGCTTGAGGACCTTGTAGATGTACGTCGAGTACGATTCGACGCGCTTGCCCTTCTTGGCCTTGCCCTTCTCGCCCGTCTTCTTCGGGGCCTTGGCGGACTTCTTGCTCGGGGTCTTGGCCATCTCGTGTGATTGTCTGGGGAAAATCTGGAATGTCCCTTTTCGCTGTCATTGTGCCGTTCGTGCTGGTCGAGGGCCCGTAATGGCGTGATTTGATTGGCACGATCATGTGATTGGCGGAAAATTTAGCTCCGATTGCCGCGAACGCATTTGATTGGCTGAAATGAATCCGAACGTGGCTTCTGCCAGAACCAAGCAACGGTTGTTGTGGCTTATCAACTCCAGCGCAGAGAAGCGCTCAACCGAACGCATCCAGCATATCTATAAGACAATGCTTTCGCGTCCTATTAGATTGCCACGACAATGCTTAAGAACCATATTCTAGAAACTGGCGGCTCACAATACAGTACCGGTACCTCGACCACCTCGACAGTGGCATTGCACTGTCCGTGTGCCCCCGCTCAGAGCCCCGAGCTTCACCACTTCTTTCGGCGAGCACTGGCACGATGTCAAGTGTCGTAGCTCGGGGCGCATTTGCATTCAGCTTTCGTCGTGCATTGGGATCTTGCGACGTCACGGCCATCGTAGCCCAGCAGAAGGCGAAGGACAAAACAGCATCAGACTTGACGAGTCGCTCGACGGGCGACGCAACGTGAACGAGGCAATTTACGCTGCTTTACTTCAGAGTGCAATCCCCCCAAGTGTACTCGAGTTGATCGTTCGTCGTCGGTGCTTCCCGGGGACGCTCATTGCCGTGTCCGCTGATGCCGAATCGTACCATACAAACCTGAAGTGAAAACCGAAGAAATCTTCAACATGTCGCAAAAGCCCACGTTTTGTCCACCGCTCGCCGATCGTAATCCCGCTTTGAAGCGCCGCGCGAAGAAGTCACTTTGCCTTTTCCTTTCATCCACAACGATGACCACGATCCCGACGACGATGCGCGCGCTCATGCTTGTGGAGCGCGTCAAGGACTTTGCCCAGCCCAACCTCGCAGCGTGCTTTCAAGTCCAGCAGATCCCTGTCCCGACGCCGGCAGCGACCGAAGTGCTCGTCAAGGTCGCGGCGAGCCCCATTAACCCGTCCAACTTTTCCCAGCTGCAAGGTTACTACGGCAACTTTGGATCGATTCCGCTGCCGCAAGTGACTGGTGTCGAGGGCTCCGGCGTCGTTGTCGCCGCCGGCGCCGACGCGCAGCACCTTCTCGGCAAGCGCATTGGCACGATCGTCGACCCCGCGGGCATGTGGGCCGAGTATGTTGTTGTGCCGGCGCATTCGTGCATCGAGCTCCCGGAAGACGCCTCGTTCGAAGACGGCGCGTCGTGCTTTATCAACCCGCTCACGGTCGTCGCGTTTGTCGAGATCGCCGTCCAGCGCAACGTCAAGGCCATTGTCCACACGGCCGGCGCTTCGGCCCTCGGCAAGATGCTCGTGCGCCACGCGAAGGAGCACGGCATCGCGGTCATCGCGGTCGTGCGCCGCCAAGAGCACGTCGACACGCTCCGTGCGATTGGCGCCGAGCACATTGTCAACACGGCGCATCCCGACTGGACGCAGGCGCTGGAGAAGCTCGCGACGGAGCTTGGCGCAACGATTGGCTTTGACGCGATTGGCGGCGCGACGTCGGGTGCGGTCCTCTCGGCGATGCCTGCCAACTCGGAGCTCTTCGTCTACGGCGCGCTTTCGGGCGAAGGCGCGAGCGGTGTCAGCCCGCGCGACCTCATCTTCCTCAACAAGAAGCTCAACGGCTTCTGGGTCGAGCAGTACTTGGTCGAGCGCGGTGCTGGCGTCGCCGAGATGATGGCCAAGGTCGCGAAGGGCCTCACAACGACGTTCAAGACCAACGTCCGCATTGCCTACCCACTCGAAGAGGCTGCGGCCGCGTTGCTCGATTACGCTGGCAACATGAGCAACGACAAGGTCATCTTCAAGCCGTAACAATGGAGTCGTACCTCGAATAATACACTAGTCTTAGCCTCTTGACGTGCATCTTATCTACCTCGGCCTGGGAGGGTTAATGGGCCGTGCACACAGCTGTCGCCGATCGTGGCTGGCAAACGCGTTGGGTGTGGTAACGCGTTGGGTGTGGTTAGACAAGGCTCCATCGAGGCAATTAGGCCATGTCCTAATTTCAAAGCGTCGCCATTTTCGACGACTTTTGTCCAATCCGGGGCGGCCACTGGTTGTGTGGGGCGCAGACCGACGAAAGATCGGACGCGACCATGGACGCCCAACGCGCGCTCCTCGACGAGCTCATGGGCCGGAACCGCGATGGCGACAAGCCGCAGGAAGACATCCGCGACTTCCGCGACCAGCGCGTCTGCAAGCGCTTCCTCTGCGGCCTCTGCCCGCATGACCTCTTCCAGAACACCAAGATGGACATGGGCGAGTGCCCCAAGCTCCACCTGCCCAAACTCAAGCTCGCGTACGAAGAAGACCGCGCCAAGAACCAGCGTGACTACGGCTACGAGGCTGACCTCGAGCGAGAGCTCGTGCGCTACGTCTCGGACGTCGAGAAGAAGATCTCGCGCGCGTTGAAGCGCCTCGACGAGCAAGACGGCGCCCGCGTCTCGTCCATGCTCGACATTGAGAACAACAAGGAGGTGCTTGAGATCACGGCCGAAATCGCAGAGCTCATGCAGAAGGCGGAAGACGCTGGCAACGAAGGCGAAGTCGACTTGTCCATGGAGCTCATGGCCAAGGTCGAAGCGCTCAAGGTCAAGAAGGCTGCGCTTCAAGGTGTGCCGAGCGCCGTCCTCGCGTCGACCGCGGGCGCGGATGCGTTGATGCCAGAAGTCGATGTGGCACAGGCGACCCTCATGGCCGTGCTGCCAGGTAACCCGCTGGCGATGACGAACGTCAACCAGAAGCTCCGTGTATGTGATATGTGCGGGGCCTTCCTCAGCATCTTTGACAGCGACCGGCGCTTGGCCGACCACTTTGGCGGCAAGATGCATCTCGGCTACATGCAAATTCGAAAGAAGATTGTCGAGATGCGCGAAGCCCGTGGCAACAAAGCCCTCGACGAACCCAAGCCCGCCGTGGATGAGACGCCGCGCTCGAAGCCGCGCGAAAGTGACCGACGCCGGTCTCGGTCGCAGTCGCGCGACCGACGATCGTCCCGTCGCGAGCGCAGCCGAAGCCGGGACCGGCGCCGTCGCAGCCGCAGCCGTAGTCGTAGCCGGGATCGCCGTCGGCGCTAAGATCTAAGCGTAACAATGCATATATCCTTGACCACGGACGGCATTGACCTCGGCCTGTTTGCATGAAAACGACCAGGCACCTCATCGTCAGCTCTCCACAGTCGCCTCGACCGATATGTGTGGCAACACCGCCGGGACAGGCAGGAGGTGCTCTCAAGTTGAAGTTGCCGGGCAACTACTTGTTGCTCATGAGCGTTGTAACATACATTGGGATTCGGTCGCTACGTAGGGCGACTGGACATGTACTTGACGTCCTGCTCGAGGACGTGTCGACCCTCGTGTTGTTCGTTCCTCTCCCAACCGACTCGGACCCATTTATTGGAATTAAATTTCGTTTTTGCTAAAATTAGCGCTATTTTGTCGAAGCACTTGCAAGTTTGCCCTTCTGTGCGACGATGGAGGACTGCGTGCACGTGTGCGTCCGGATTCGGCCCGTCCTCGGCAAGAAGGAGCCGAGAGGCGCCGAGCCGATTCCCGGCGCCAACTGCGTGCGCGTGCCTCCGACGAATGGCACGGCGCCGACGCAGCTCGTCGTCGGCAAGGATCGGCCGTTCACGTTCGATACGATCCTGACGCCGGACGCCAACCAGGCCAAGCTCTACGATGCGTCCGTGGCCTCGCTCGTCGCCAAGTTCATGGAGGTACACCTCTTCATCGACACACATGCGGCAGCGAGCTTAGGGCTACAACGCGACCGTGCTCGCGTATGGCCAAACAGGCAGCGGCAAGACGCACACGATGAGCGGCGGCGCGGCCTACAGCACCAAGATTGACGAGGGCCATGGCGTCATTCCGCGCGCCGTCTGCCACGTCTTTCGCTGCATGCAAGAACTCAAGCACGTACGAGCGCGCACCTACCTCGCTTTTCGCATGCTCACTTGGTTGCAGGTCAAGGAATTCCTTCTGCGCGTCGAGTACCTCGAGATTTACAACGAAGAGCTCCGCGACTTGCTGCACCCTGAGACGTCGTCCAAGGTACAGTGCCACATAGCGTCTTCGCCATACCGATTGCATGTAGCAACTGTCGATCCGCGAAGACGCCAACGGCCACATTGTCGTCGCCGGCGCGCAGTCGCGCGCGGTGCAGACGCCAGAAGACGTGATGCGACTCCTCTCGATGGGCACGGCCGCGCGCGTCACGGGCAGCACCAACATGAACGAGCAGTCGAGCCGGTCGCATGCAATCTTTACGCTCATGCTGCAGCAGCGCGACCTCGGGACGGGCGAATTTACGCTCGCCAAGTTCCACCTCGTCGACTTGGCCGGCTCGGAGCGTGCCAAGCGCACGGGCGCGGTCGGCGGTCGTTTCAAAGTACCGAAAATGACGTGGCAGCACGTATATACAGTATTTGTGTAGGAGTCAATCAACATCAACCAAGGGCTCCTTGCGCTCGGCAACGTGATTAGCGCGCTCGGCGACGAAGCCAAGAAGAAGCTCCACGTACCGTACCGCGACTCGAAGCTGACGCGCCTCCTCCAGGACTCTCTTGGCGGCAACTCGACCACGCTCATGATTGCGTGCGTCAGTCCGGCGGCGTCCAATTTCGAGGAGACGCTCAACACGCTCAAGTACGCGAACCGGGCCAAGAACATCAAGAACCGGCCGGTCGTCAACCATGTGGTCGAGAACGAGCAAGCGTCGATGATCGCTCGCATGAAGTCGGAGATCCAGGAGCTCCAGACGCAGCTCCAGCAGCAAGGCGAGGCCGACACGGAAGAATCATGGCGGCAAAAGCTCGACGCGGAAATGCAGACGGCGCGGCACTACAAGCGCCTTGTCCGCGAGGCCAAAGTGTGCGCCAAGGAAGCCGCGACGACGCTCGTGTCGCTCGAACGCGACGTCAAGACACTGGGCCGGCCCGTGCAGCAGCGCCTCAACGACGTGGTCAAGGCGCTCAACGCGATTCTGCTCCTCGCGCCGCCGACAAAGTCAAGTGACATGGACACGGACCAGGCCCACGCCGAGATCCTCGCGCTGAAAGAGAAGCTCAAGCAAGACGTCGAGATCTTCAACCACAAGGCCAAGGACATGGAAGCGCTTCAGCAGCTCATGCTCAAGATGAAGGCCGAATTTGACACCACGGTGCTCGTCAACCAGCAGCTGCAGGCGGCCAACGCTGCCCTCGAGGCCCGCGTGCAAGCGCTGCGCGCCGACGCGAGCCACACGGCGGCGAAAACGTCGCCCGACCGGCTTCTGCGCGCCAAGCGAGACGAGACCATCAGTGGGCCCAAGAGCCTCTTTCGCCAGCGCCACCAGCCGGCGGACGACGATGACGATTGTGTACTTATCGACGACGACGACAACAACAACCATCACCACGAGGTGCTTGTATACACGCAGAGCTGTAGAAAACTCATTACTTTTATGGCATTAGGGCAAGGACACGGAGGTGCCAGCTGTGCCCAGTCCGGTACGTCTCCTGTCGTTTGATTATTGAAGCACTGAAGCATGGCGTAGAACCAGCGGCAGCTGCCAAGTCCCATCTCCCGCGTGCATTCAGCCCCGACGACGGCCCGGCGCCGGCTGGAGAAGCTGCCGTCGCCACCCAAGTCGGCCGATGCGTCCCTCGCAGCTGCGCAGAGCCTCCACTCGCTCTTCAAGAGCCAGCTGCAAGCGGCGTTGGACGCCAAGGACGTCTCGGACCAGATGGAGTCGCTCGTGCATGACAAGGAAGAAACCGAGCGGCAAATCCACGACATTGCTTTGCGCAAGACCGGGCTCGAGATGGAAAAGATGCGTCAAAGGTGACTTTAAACAAACATGCGCCATATTTACACAGTCGACTGGACAGCTTGAGCGTCCAGCATAGTATCTCGGACCTCTCGGCAACGATTCAAGCCATGAACCAAAAGATGACGTCGCTGCCGGATGCGGACGACGTTGCCCGGCTGAAGCGCCGGAAGGAGCGCGCGGAGAAGAAGCTCGCCTTGCTGTTGGAAAAGAACGAAGCACAGGTGCGGCGTACACTGATCCATTGGCTGGACGAAGTGCTTGGTAGGCGTATCTCGAGCCCGGCGCCCAAGACGAGCTGGCGGCCCTCGAAGAGCAGATCGAAGACCTCAATTCGCAAATCCTCTTTCAAGACGCGCAGCTCGAATCGGCCAAGTCCATCTGCCCAAGCACGAGCAAAGCGACGTCGCCGCTCGACCGAATCCTCAAGACACTGGGCGTGCCGCGGACTGGCGACGGAAAGCTCCTCGCGTGGCTCCGCCTCTCCTGGAACGAGGTACGGATCGACATGCAACCGATCATACAGGTGGCTTCACATTGTACACAGTTGGTGACACTGGCCTCGTCGGAGCGCGCGTTGCAGGCCAAAATCCAGCAGCAAGAAGAGCTCATCACGCAGCTGTCGCAGACGCGCGTGCAGCTCGAGCACGGTCTCGCGGCCGCGCGCGCCGAGTACGATCGGCGATTCGTGCAGCAGGAGGCCGCGCACGCCCAGTCGCTGCATACCATTGACGAGCTGACGATCCTCGTGGCTGAGAAGCAGTCCAAGCTCGAGCAGTTGAAGGACGACAAGGCGATCGCAGACATGAGCGCGCTCCTCGCGGCCAAGCAAGCCGAGCTGGACGTTGCCAAGCGGTGCGTGCACGAGGCAGAGAAGGACAAGAAGCGTCTCGCCGAGTACGACCGGTACGTCGGCCAGCGCCAGGCCGAGTGGGAAGAACACATGGCGGCCCTCAAAGAGCAGCTGCACGCTGCGAAAGACGAGGTCGCGCGCCTCCAGCTCTCGTCGTCGTCGTCGCCAACCGAGCTGACGCAGCTCCAGGCGCAATATGCGGCGCAGCAAGACTACATTGGGAATCTCGAGAAGCACCTCGTGCTCTTCAAGACAAAAGCCAAGCAAACACAAATGCAGCTCCAGCAGCTCATCCGCGACTCGAGCCAGCAGAGCCCAGATGACGCGCGCCGCATCACGCAGCTCGAGGAGCTGAACGAGGCGCTCATGAAAGAAAACGCGGCAATGAAGGTACACATGCACGCGGTGCGGACCAAGAGCCATAGTGACGATGTCCGCATTCGGATCCCGAAAACTGAGCTGCAAGAAGTCGACGTGGCTGGGCGCCCTACCTTGTAGACTGTCGACGTCACACTATAATTACTAATGACGAATATTGTACAAAAACAACTAGAGACGGGAGAGGGACGACCCTGGCCACTGCAAAACTGCTGCGGCCACTTGATGCAATACCAGCGCCGTGAACAAGAGCCACGCCGCAAGCTTGCTCAGGCCGCCAAAGTGGCGGAGCAAGATGCAGTCACTGCGCTGCTTGGGAAGGAACCATACAGAGAGACACCCGACGACGTTGAGCCCCAAGGCGATGTAGAACGTCAACGTACTCCAGCGGCCGTCGGGGCCCGCGTAGTGCTGGTGCAGCGCCATCATGAGCGGATGCACGATTTCAGCAGACGTCGATAGAAGCGAAAGCGTCGTGGCTTCAAACCCGTACGGGGCGACCTCGACCATCGGGAGGTGGCGGAGCACGTACTGGATCGCCGTCGGCACAGACGAGACCCAGACAAGGGTCACCGCGCCCCAGTTGGTCGCATCGTCGACCACGGACGCGTGCTGGAGGACGTGGAGAAGCATGTTGGCGGACGCAGCCGAGAGGAACGATCGCTGCCAGTGCCACGAGAGCCCGCGGCGTTGCACGTACGCGAGCGCGTAGGCGAAGAGCACAAAGAATACGAGTCGGACGATCCAGGGGTAGATGGTGCGGAACCACAGCAGCGGGCTGTACCCATTGGCAACGGACGATAAGGCGAGGCAGCAGCCCGCACCGGCTTGGAAGAGAGCGACTTGCCAGATCTACGCCGCCACAATGAGATGATGCATCGCTTTAGACGACGACGTACGGCCTTGTTTTGGAGCAAGCGCCCAAACATGTAGCGGCGCCGGCGAAACTCGAGAGACGGCGCGAGGCGCGACTCGGTAATGAAAAAGAGAAGTGCAGGCACGGGAAGAATGCAGATGACAGCAACGATGCGCAAGACAGACGCCTTGTCGAGGGCCCACGTCACGTCGCCGCTGGCGTCGTCGGTGAGGCATGCGAGCAGCAGCGACGACAGACTCGCGCCAAACCAGTTCAAAGCCAGCAGCGTGATTTGCGTCCGGCCGCGCGCCTCGATGGGCTCGCGCTGAGCGTACTCGACCATGAGCCCGTCCGAGGCTGTCTGAACGAGCGCCGCGCTGAGCGATGCCAATACGACAGCGGCTGCATACGCGTCGCTAACGCAGTCAACTATAAGAACCATCGCCAACACCTGAGAAGTCGTACCCGTCGCGTGCAACGATAGAGAGAACGAAGAAGGCGACAGCCATCGAGGCCCACCCGAGGAGCATATACGACTTGCGCTTGTAGCCAAGGAATGGCACGCTGTCCGAGGTCAGCGCAAAGAGCACTCTGGCGTAGAAGCCAAGATTGACAAGACCGGCATGGCCGGGTCCTGGCGCCGCGAGGACAGTAAGCAGCGTCGTGACCATGCCAAGGACACCCGCGCTAACGAGAAGGCCGGCGTGGGCAGCCGAGAAGAGGTCCACGGGCGACCCGTCTCGAAGCGGCCCCTCAAAGTCGTCCTGTGGCGTGCGCGCCTTTTGTCCGCGCCACGCGTTCGAGTAGATGTCGCCGTGGCTCGAGTCGACGAAGATTTCGTATGGCTTGAGGTACCCGAGATGCGACGACTCCATGATCGTGATCGGACTTGCCGACATCGTTGGTGTGGGATGCCGTGATGGACGTGCAGCAATAGACGAAGTGAGTAAACTGTACTACTGCCAATGGTTGGGATCCGGCTCCTATTTGTAAAAGCACCGTGGTTCGAAGAAGACGCGTTGCAGCGGCCGTTGATGCCGGTGCACCAGCTGCCCGCGCGGCGTGGACTGTATTTTGGCTTCGCCCATGATGACTCGTAAACCAGATGGCTATTATGACGTGGCAGCACCCAAGCGAGCCAGTGCAGGTCAGGTTGCACTTGTGTGACAAGGACAACGGCATTTGGACAACCAACTCTGCCGCGCTCTTGGGACAATCGAACGATACCAGCGATTCGTGGTCCACTGCATGCAAACGACGATGCTGACTGGATCCAATGCCGTGATGGGACCGACACAGCGTTGCCGGTTGCAACGCTGCCTGCAGAATCAGGATGACTCGGCAACGTGGTACCTGTAGGAACACTAGACGACGAGTCATTTCAAGAGTATAGTACATTGAGCCAGCACGGTCGTGCTATATGTGTGGAGGCCAAGCATGATGCAGGGCGTGTCGGGCTTGCAAATGCTGCTGCCTCTCGCAGTGTTGGACACTTCGTACGATGTTGAAGGGCGTTGTGGACATACGGTATTATCCCACATCTGTATAGTACCAAGGGTCTCTGCTTCAGTCTGCCATGACGTCGTTGTATGGTCCAGAACCTAGGCTCCGATGACCGCGTCGACGCACCTATCGATAGCGTTCGACTGTACCAAGCCAACTACTTTGCTACCTTGCTACCGCGACAACGAACAACGGAGTACTACGACGGTCCGATCACGGCGCTCCAAATAGGCCAGCGACTGGTCGTGACGCATTTCACGGTACGCAGCGACATCATGCTGATGATGCAGCAGATGAAGGGCATCTTCCGAGTCCACGAGGCTCGCTTGCAGACGCTGCATGTCCAGGCGCGGGAGCTCGCAGCACGTTTTACGTGCACATGGGAACACCACCGTCGCGAGTTCAACCGCGCCACGAATCACTCGTCCAAGACGATTGTACTAGTACCTCATACGCACATGCCGACGACGGATGTGATCTTTTGTTGCCGAACGAAGAGCTTCTGCACGTTGAAGAGCTTTTGGCCGCCGACGTTCGACACACTCCCAGTACGCGTCTCCACCCGCCCCCAGACCCGCCCCTCTATTTCCTGTTACAAGGGACTCAAAAGAAACAGCATGGTGTCATAAAGGCAGCGTAGCAAGTCAGTGGTAGGGTTTGTTTGCGTCCATTCGACTGCTGCATTTCCATCACCTTGAAAAGGACGTGCATCATCCGAACTCGCGAGTCGCAACATGAAATGCACATTATTTTAAGAATCACATATAGTGTGCATTACATTATTTCGCAGCAGAGTGTGGATCTGCCATTGGCTATGCAACAGATTGAACGACGATGCTCTGCGGGTCTTTGCTGCGCCTTCGCCACCCGGTCGTGGCCGTGACCGCGCTCCGGCGCTTCGCTGCGGACGCGCGCAAGTCGGCGCCAGCCAACGCGCGCTTCAAGCTCCTCGGCGACAACGATCACGTGGCGCCGGCGACGTCGGTCGTCCCGAGCGACGTTCTGTACGAGTTCCACCGCAAGGTACCAGCCATCATGTCATCGCTGCGTCCACTTGGCCGCGTGTAGACGTACTTTACCATGATCTCGTCGGCGTCGCTCGTGCAAATTGCGTTCTGGAGCTGGTTCAAGGGCGCCGAGATGGCGATCCCGATCACGCCGGTCGACGTGCCCGACACGACGCTCATGTCAATCATCACGAACGACGCGTGGTCGTCGATTGGCCTCGGCGCGAGCGTCATGATGGCCGGCATCGTCGGCTTCTTCGCCCAGGTATCCATCCATCCAATCCTCCGCCTTGCGGACAGTCCATACGACGCTCGGTGTAGCGCTCGATTGCCCGCGTCTCGGTAATCTCTGGCGGCGCCAAGCTTCGCATTACGACGCACAAGTTTCTTGGCGTAGGCCGTCTCTTTCGCAAGAAGACAATTGGAACTCTCTGTTGTAGGGCCTCTCGGAGCCGACCGACTATGCGTTGCCGCAGATCCGCGTCCAGTCGCAAACCGCAAGTACTTGACGCTCAAGATCAACGACTCGATGGGGTTCTACCTCATTGACGTCAACGGCACGTTCCACAACCGCGCCAAGCTCGACCACATTCTTCAGGTCGCGTCGACGACGGCCGCGCCGAGCGCCGAGGACAAGGCCAAGGCCAACGCGGGTACGACGTTCCCGCTGCGCTCGGATCTGCCGCGCACGGACCTCAAGACGGCGAGAAAGAACAAAAAGTAATCGCTGCAACGACGCTACCCGATGCGCCTAACACGCTTTTCGGCACGATTCGAGACGGCTTCTCTTCGTCGTTGGCAGCCCGCTTACACCGTGTGGTGGCGAGCGTCGAGGCTCGACGCAGACAAAGGCGGTGGCTGCCCCGGCGGCATGGACATCAACACCACGTGCTGCGGCAACGCGCGTGACACAGAGGGCTCGTCCATGGTTGCTTTGGTCTTGCTGTGGGCTGACGCTTGCATTCGCCGGAGCTCGTTGCGCGTATAGTACCAGATGAACCCGAGACCCACGGCGCTACCGACAAGGCTTACGATCAGAACAACGATGTGATCGGTGGACAGTGTGCCATCGCCGGCCAGGACGTCTTTGATGTTGCCAGAGACACTGCCGACGTAGGCCCAGAACACACCCAGCGGGAGGCCGCACACGAAATTGGAGACCAGGAAGGGCCCGAAGGGGACGCCAAGGACGCTGAGGCTGTAGCACTTGAGCGTCACCGGCACGTACGCGAGCTGGATGCAGAACAAAACGCGGTAGTTGGTCTCGCGGGACTCGAAAAGGTGGTGCAGCGCAAGGACGAGTGGGTACTTGGCCATGAGGTGGGCGCCGAGGCGCTCGCCGCATGCTCGCGCGACACCAAACGCGAGCGCTGACCCGAGGACCGTGCCCGCCGTGTTGATGAGGATGGCGTAGCCAAAGCCAAAGCACACGCCGGAAAAGGTCTCGAGGAGCGTGCAGGGCACGCCCGCGAGCACCGAGATCCAGAGTGCGAGGACGCAGACCAAGCCGCCGATGTCGCGGTGGCCCTACGCACAGTAAAGATTTGATTCGATTAAGTGCCACGGGAAGGTACGTACTTCGACCCAGTCGGGGAGCGCGGTGATGATGTGGGTGTGGGCCATGACGACGGAGCGCACACCAAATACCAGGGCTGTCACGACGAGAATCAGAACAAACGCCTTGACGGTGCTACGAGCTGTGCACGTGGATCGCAGCGTCGCGCTCGACCTCGAGACCTTGGCTGCGTCCATGCAAGGGTATATAATAATTGCCCTTGGTCCATGGTAGGAGGGCTCGCAAATCTTCTGCCGTGGTTTCAGGTGGTGATGATACGCTGGAACAAGAGAATACTGTATCAGAGCTTATTACAAGAGTTGAAAAGCTCCATGAGCTCGATCGATCGCATGATGGCGAGCCCAGATCGATGGTTTCTCGCGTCCGTAAACCTGCAGGTTTGGCTCCAAGCTCACAAAACGCACTTTTGCTTACATTGGAGCACTGGACACAAATTCCTGGGGCAAAACACGCAGATCGCCTCGATCTGCTCCAGGCTCGTTGCGCACTGGTTCGCGACGTCTTGTCTGGAAAGACGGAATGGGGGTGACAAGGTCGTCGTTGAGGAGGTTCGTAGTAAACACCAAGATCGATACATTATTGCGCACCACCAGCATATCTAATCCTGCGCCGCGTTTTGGGCCAGCTTCTTGTAGATGGCTTTCAGCGTGTCGCTGGCGGCCGTCGGGAGGCGCGTGCCAGGACCAAAGATGGCGCCGACACCTTGTTCGTACAAAAAATCATAGTCCTTGGGCGGGATCACGCCACCGCAGATGACCAAAATGTGCTCTGCGCCTTGGTCCTTGAGTGCATTCATGAGCGCCGGCACGAGCGTGTTGTGCCCAGCGGCCTGCGAGCTCACACCGACACAGTGCACATCCGAATCAATCGCTTGGCGCGCGACTTCTTCCGGCGTCTACAGGAGCATCGATTTATTAGACATGAATTGGTTGATAGAAGCCTTGTACCGAGAAGAGAGGACCGACATCGACGTCAAAACCAAGGTCCGAGAAGCCCGATGCAATCACCTTGGCACCACGGTCGTGCCCGTCTTGGCCCATCTTGGCCACGAGAAGACGCGGCCGACGACCTTGGTCTTCGGCAAACGCATCCACCTCGGCCAATACCGTCGTGTATTCGGCCTCGGCTTCACTGGCCATGTACGTATCGCGGTACGCACCCTGCACGACCGAGCTCTACGACATTACATCGCATAAGTCTTGTTGCTCCGATGCATCAATGCAGTCATACCTTGGGCACGTGGCGACCCCAGACCGTCTCGAGAGCATCGGAGATTTCGCCGACCGTGCACCGGGCGCGGGAGGCGGCGATGGCGAGCTTGAGCAAATTGTATTCGTGCAGGCCGGGACCCGTCGACTCGGTGAGCTTGGCCGAGTGGATGAGGCGCTTAAGGCACTCTTGTGCCTCCGCTTCATTGCGGTTCGCCTTGGTCGTGTTGATACGGTTGATCTGCGACTCGCGCACTTTGTTGTTGTCGATCGAAAGCACGTCGACGCGGTCCTCGTTCGCGAGGCGATACTTGTTGACACCGACAATGACATCTTCGCGCGAGTCGACGCGCGCCTGCTTCTTTGTCGCACTCTCCTCGATGCGGAGCTTGGCCATGCCCGACTCGATCGCCTTGGCCATACCACCCAAGTCTTCGACCTACATACATGGTATGAGCACTCGCCGACGAAGCTAACGTGCAGGGTACCTCTTGGATGATCTCGAGCGCCGAGTCGACGAGCTCTTGTGTGAGGTTCTCCATCAAATACGAGCCGCCCCACGGGTCAGCGACCTTGGGAATCCCCGTCTCTTCCTGGAGGATGAGCTGCGTGTTACGGGCCATACGCGCACTGAACTCGGTCGGCAAACCGAGTGCTTCGTCGAGTGCGTTCGTGTGCAGACTTTGCGTACCACCTAATAACGACCAGTGTTAGCACAGACGTAACTTGGCGAGGAAGCGCACCCATGACGGCAGCCATCGCTTCGACGGTCGTGCGGATGATGTTGTTGTACGGATCTTGCTCGGTGAGCGAGTAGCCGGACGTCTGTACGCGCCGAATGAGCTGCGAAAGCCACACCAGAAAACGAAAACGTACTTGGCAATGCGTACGGAGCAAGAGACTTTTGGGGTTCTTGGGCTTGAACTTCTCTTCGACGAGAATGGCCCACAGCTTGCGCGCCGCACGGAGCTTGGCCACCTACGTCGACGAGTAAGCATCATTTCGCGATAAAAGCATGGGTACCTCCATGTAGAAGTTCATGCCGATCGCAAAGAAGAACGAGAGACGGGGTGCGACCATGTCGACGTCGAGACCAGCAGCGACAGCAGCACGCGCATACTCGATACCATCGGCAATCGTAAACGCCAACTCGAGCTTGGCGTCGGCGCCGGCTTCTTGCATGTGGTAGCCCGAAATCGAGATCGAGTTGTACTTGGGCATGTACACGGACGTGTAGCCAAAGATATCCTGTGTTGCGACCAGATGAGATGACACGTCGCCATTGGACAAAGCTGCGTACTTGGATGATGCGCATCGACGGCTGCGGCGGGTAGATGAACGTGTTACGCACCATGAACTCTTTGAGGATATCGTTCTACAACCAGAGATTATGAGCTACCATGACATGAGAGATGAGACACGCATACTTGGATCGTGCCGGCGAGAAGCTTCTGGTCGACGCCTTGCTCTTCCGCGGCCACGATGTACATGGCCAGAATCGGCAACGCAGCGCCGTTCATGGTCATCGAGACGGACATCTTGTCGAGCGGGATGCCGTTGAACAAGATCTTCATGTCTTCGACCGAGTCGATCGGTACACCGGCCATACCGACGTCGCCCTGTACGCGCGGGTGGTCCGAATCGTAGCCACGATGCGTAGCCAGATCAAAGGCGACCGACAAACCTTGCTGACCTGCCTTCAAGTTTTTGTGGTAGAACGCGTTCGACTCCTCGGCGGTACTGAAACCAGCGTACTGCCGCACGGTCCAGGGCTTGGCCGTGTACATGGACGCATATGGGCCACGCGTGAAGGGGAAGGCGCCGGGAAGTTGCGCCGGATCCAAGTCCTGCATATGCATGTGATCGTCGTCGCAAGCTACGATCGTCGAGTCGTACCTCCATGTCGTCCTTGGTGTACAGCGGCTTGATGTTGATGCCCTCGGGCGTCTTCCAGAGGAGCGTCTCCATCGGGTCCTTGCCCTTGAGCTCCTTCGTCGCGGCCTTGGCCCATGCTTCCGGCAGAGGCTTCTGGACCCGGCGGGTCACGCTCATGGCGCGCGTCATGGCCAAGCTGCGGGGGACCGTGGATCGCCACATACCGAGGGAATTCTCAAATGCTGTGGCCGGCGGCTTTCACATCCCAGCAGGTATGAAAAGGGATTTTAGCCAATCAGAACGGGGGACACCTGGCATCCCCCAGCCCTCCGCCTAGATTCAACCTGGCGTATCCGGACAATGGAGGTCCCCCTACCATTTCGTAGGGTCCCGTAAAAATATGGGGTGCAAATGTGCTCGACAACGCTCACAGCAGACGCCATAACGACGATGATTCATTTCAAACGCAAGAAAATCACATCGAGTACCGGGTCACGACCGCCTATGAGATTGTGTCTTTGACGTTGCTGGCGAGTGAATGATGTCATTTCTAGATGGGTGCCCCCACCGGGACTGACGATTCGGACAACATGCGAGGTGACTGTGGGATGGATCCGGTTAATACCGGCTGGCGCATCACATGGACCGCACTGAACGACCCGATCGCAAGGTTTCGTCAAGCGCCTCGAACATGCCTGCAGATACAGTGCAGGACACAATTGTGCCTGCTAGAAAAGACAATATATGTAAGTATCGCATTGGTGACAAGGGCTACCGTCCACTGCCTTTGTAACCCGAGCCGAGGCAATGCGCCACCAACCACGTCGATCCAATCCGATGAGCATTAGCGTCATGCCACGCCCGATCCTCCGCGGACGTGTCCAAGGAAGCCTCTCTAATCAGCCCAAAGACGGTGTAACCCCAAGATGGATCTTGCCGGGATCAGAGCAACGACGCCGTGTCCGTTGCTCTACACTCGTAAAGCTGCAAGGTAGCAGTACTGTTCCACTATTGCTTGCTTGTTCTGCTTTGTTTTAGTCGCAAACGCACGCTTTTCATTTTTGACTGTGAATCTCCTCGAGAATAACAGTGCTCGAGTCGCCCTTGGCCACGCAGCTTGATCATTTGGGCGTTGGCAATGGCATGCGCGACGTCCAAACCACAGTCACACAGCGCCATGCGAGCTCTTCAAACCGCCCACGAGTTTAACGCGACACCAAGTCACCTTAGCAACTTTCTTTGGATCCTACAAACGCGCAGAATGCCATCATCCTACACGTGCATTGCTCTGCTAGGGCAAGGTTGTCTCATTCCATGTCGATTTCCGCTTGTTATTGGTGGCCCGCTGCCCCTTCCCGAGGTCGTGGCGGCACTACTCGTCCATCCCTTGCAGTGACTGTCTCGACGGCACCGGTCTCCAAGCACCATGGACGCAAGCAAGCGCTAAGGTTACTATTGCAGCTCGGCCAGCTTGATGGTTGTAGTATTGACATTGTAGCATAAGTGTAGATGGTCAACCCCACTGACTTTGCTCGTGTCGAAACTCATTCCTGCACTTGTCCTTGGAAAGACCGCCGCAGCGGAGCGCTCAGTCAACCCACTGTCGGTTTTATGCGCTCCAATTTGGACCAATCGATCGTCCATGCGCCAACATCGGCTCCGCATTTTATGCGAATATCCATTCGACAAGGCATGTGCCAGCCTTGACGCCTCATCGACCTATTAAGCTCTTTCTACTCCGTACACGTATGCGCCAAGTACCCTTTTAGTCCCAGCATGACTGTCGTCATTTGAGCCGTGCGCTACACAACGTCCAGACTGCTGTCTGCAACGATGGGCGCCGTCCATGTAGCAGCCGCGAGACGACGGCAGAGAAGATAGACTCGATGGTGGTGTACGCATGCATTGAAGCCAGCGCTTTTTAGCACGAGTTTACTTGCCGCATTGGCAGTTGTCGCCGCACTGGCACGGGTTGCAGGAGCAGCTCGGGTTGGCCTTGGCGGACGAGCACGCGCACGACGTGGGCGTGCAAGCGCAGGACGGGCCGCACGTGCAGTTGTCGCCGCACTGGCACGACGGCGTCGTGGTGGCGCACGTGCACGGGTTGCACGCGCAGGACGGACCGCACTGGCAAGCCATTTCTCTTGTGTCTGGAACGGGGCGAAATGGGAAATGCAGCATGCGTTGCTTGGTCGAAAGAGCTGTCGCTCCGCGACCAGCTGCTC